CACAGATAGATCAAAAAACCCCCCCCGCAAACACGGCCTTGGGGACACCCCAGCCTCTGTGGCCTTGCCTCTAGACCTTCTAGGGGTGACCCCAATCCACCACCCAGACCCTTTCCCCCTACATAAACCTCACCACCAGCCTCCTTGCCTCTCTACACACCCCAGGCTCTTTGCCTAAAACCTTTGTGCAAAGCTTCCCTTCCATTAGAAATGCTTTCTCCACCTCTTTCCAAATCTCCACCTCTCCTCCATGTTGGCCTTGCTCAAGTCCTCCCTTCTCTCCCAACCGTCCCCAAGACCACAAGGACAGGGACCGTAGCCATTTTAGGGGACTAACAGCCCCTGGCCCATACTGGGTTCACTTACCAGCTTCTCTTACCTCTCTAACTAGACCTGGGGCTTAGGAATGGGGCCTGGGGTCCCCCAGAACCAACACACCAATCTAGACGAAATGAAATTACTACAAATAATAGTGGGGTTTATTACAAAGTAACATGCAAAACCCACATCTGAGCCCAGGGCCTACCTTTGTCACAGGCAGATCTCCAAACTCTCTCATCCGAAGTTCTTGGTGTGTGCCCCGTAGCACCAGCTGGGGCCTGGCAAAAAGCAGGTGCTCAGTCATGCTTGCCATGAACAAAGGCAGGAAATGCAGACCCGGGGCAGGCAAAGAAATACACAGCAAAGAGGGAGACCTCGCAGGCCCTCCCAGCCCACCTCTCTCCTTGGCCTCCTTTTCAGGGCCCTGGGGAGGACTGAGCATTCCAGCTGGACTCTTTGTAGATTTGAGGAAATCAATAGCAGCCAAGGCCTTCCTGGAGGCCTAACCTTCGAGGAACAAAGAAAGCCCTTGCTCGAGGATGGGCTATGAAACTTGTCACAGGCAGCCTGGGCCGGACAGGGAGGCCTCTGGCAAACTTCTGCAGCAGGAGAAGCCCATGGTCCCTTCTGAGGCCCTCTCTGGAGGAGGGAAGGAGCAGGGGTTGAAAGGGACAAAATGGAGAACCGGAGACCAAGAGAAGGCTGTTCATGATGGCACTGAGGAGGTCTCCGTGCTTTACGGAGCTGCCTCTGCACATCTGCGAAGACAGAGGCCAGAGGCTTCCATCCCTCAAGGAGCTAAGAGCTGGCTGGGGGTGCTGGCCACCCCTCTGCCTGCTGGTGACGTTTTCTTGTTCCATCACCAGGCCTAGTGCCAGGAGTAGTCCGGTCATTATTTCTGGCTTCCTGGCCAGCTAAGGGCAGATTGCAGCCAGAGTTGTGGGCTTTGGTGGCTGGAGCTGGAGGCCCATGAGGTTCAGAGTCCAGGACCAGAGCTGTCCCAATCCTGCACCTTCGATGTGCGTGGGCCAGGCTCAATTCCGGCCATTTTCATCAGTAACTGTGGATTTGGGCAAGATAAAGGACACACACAGGTCTACACTGCCACCTTATAGGGATGGTGTGAGGCTCAGACTGACTGGTAGGTGGGAAAGGACTGGTGAACCATATGAGTTAAAGCCCTAACATTCAGATGGGAGGGCTGGGTTGGATCCCTCTTCCCTCTAATTTCCCAGCGCTCTGCTTTCCTGAATGACCACTGCGTGCCAGACACTTCACACGGGTTCATTTCACTGCCCTCCCCCAAAGCCTCAGAAGAGAGCATGGTTGCCTCCATTTCGCAGATGAGGAAATGGAAGCTCGATAACCTGCCCAAAACCATGGGGCAAATGAGTGGCAAAAGCAAGACCCCGGCCAGGTCTACCTGTGTGTTCTGAGCCATGACACTGCACAACTGCCACCACTGCTCATAAGCACAGGCTCCAGCCCCAGAGACCAGAGTCCTCTCCCCAGTTCCCCTGCAGGGCCGAGACCAGAGGCACCACTCGGTGGGAGTTCAAAAAATCTGTCAGGATCCTGGACTTCCTAGGAACATCCTCTTTGTGGACACAGCCTGTCCTGGCACCAACTTCTAGGACCCAAGACAGTGCCTCCTCCTCCTCTGCCCCACCCCCAGCATGTGCCCCTTTCACCAGCCCAGGGATGACAACAGGGATGTGAGGTTTCTGTCAGTCTCTCTCTTCCCCCTCCTCCTCAAGCCCAGCTTTGGGCCTCATCTAGTCACCCTCCCCGCTAGGTACGGCCCTCTGCCCATTCTATGAGTGGTTGAACCAAAGGGAATAATCCAGAGACTGAAGAGTACATTACTACTGTATACCCTTAGTCACACTGTCTGATGTTCCCCTGTTCAAATGCTATTGTCTGGGGTGGCGGGGTGGGGGCAGATAGCTGCATGGTGATGCAATGCTCCGCAAGGCTGACCCAAATGGGAAGGTTCTGGGTTCACGCCTGGAGACCTCACTGAACTTGTTGGGGACATGCATGCCTATGGTCTGAACTGGCTGAAGCTGAGGGTAAATCATGGCATCTAGACTCTATAGGGGGTGCTTCTCCTTCTCTCCCTCTTACTCATAGAAGAAAGAAGTCAACTTAAAAAAAAATACCAAGGGCCAGCCCCATGGCCTAGTGGTTAAGGGACCCACACCCGACATGGCTGTATACTGTTCAAATCCTGACCCCATTTGTGTGAAAAACATGTTGGGTGCATGTGCGTGCATGTCCCAAATCCTGACAGGATGGAGAACGGAGAAGGGATTGCAGCATGATCATGCCCCACTAGGGAGGATGCTTTCTCCCTCTCCCTCTGTTTCCTTATGGTGAGTGCATGTGCCCTCTGGCAAAAAAATAAAGTGAAAAAATAAGAGGAGAGGCTTTTATCAGCTATGGGACACAGGAAGCGGTAGCCATCCTGTGGACTGGTGTTCCCGGGCAGGTTGGTGGGAGAGTATGCCCAGGTGCAGTGAGTAGCTGTTACAAGCCAGTTTGTACTGTTGCTCCCACTTAAACCAAGAGAGACCACACTGAAAGTCTGGGAAGAGAAGGCTACAGGGGGAAGAGGGCAAGGACTGATCCCATCATCTTCCCGGAATCAAAGCCTCAGGTCCATAAGGACCCTCGGAAACCCCTGCTTCCGTTGGGGAGCTGAGCCCCTAGAAGAGTCACTCATCAGTGAAGGGCCAGGGCCTGTCACCCCAGCCCACGTACACCTTCTGCTCCCAGCATTCCCTGTGGGAGAAGGACCACACGAGCAACGCCCTGGTCTGTGACGGTCAAAGTCTTTACTCTAGCGCATACATTGGACTCACTATATATTAACATCAAAAGTGGCTACCTAAAATGGAGTCATTCTTTTTAAAAATCCAAATTCTCACATTTTTATATAAGATCCAAAATGACATGAAATTAAACTATACAATGTTATGAATAGTATAACAAACTGCTTTTAGAAAGCAAAATGAAAGGAAAAAATTAGCAGTTGGGACTGTCGTGAGCCTGGGCTCCATGTCTTTTGTGGCACTGTGACCAAGAGCCAGCACCGAGGGGATAGGACCAGCCCCTCTCTGCGGGCCCTGGAAGGAGCACAGTCGGACAGAGGAGGCAGATGCAGCTGATCAGACTTCAGGTGAGAGGGAGGCAATTTGGTGTCTGCCAGCTCCTCTGGGCTCTTGGTGTGTATGCCGAGTCCTTCCAGACCCACGGCCAGGAAAAGGTGTCTGGAACAGGGCAAGGAGGGCAGAGCTGGGTTCAAAATGATCATTTTGATAATGAAGGTCCTTCTGGGCTTCCCGAGGCGGGTCCTGGCTGTCTAGCGACGTCAGTCAACTCCATCCACCTGCCAGATATCCGCCTACTAGCTCCCCTAACCCTCCTGCTCCTCTTACTTTCTGTCCTGGACACCCTCTTTTTGAGCCCCATGGGCAGCCAGAGATCTAGAGGGACTCTAGGAGAACCCATAGAACACTTCAGCTTTTGACATAGCTGGATGTTGTCCAGGGCATCTTGGCAGCATAAGACCCCTGGGGTCCAGGCCAGGAGCCAAGCTGAGGGTGGTGGGTATTCCCAGGGGCTAGGAAAACACTGTGGGGCAAAGGCCAGTCCCACATCCTGGGTACCAGTACCCGGGCCTGGTCTTGGTACTGAGGCAGGGATGGGGCAAGCTCATTGGGGCCGTACCTGAGCCCCTGATGCTTTGGTTCACACGATTTCGGGGAGGGGAACACTTGTTTGCATCTGCTGGGGAGGGCACAGGCTTGGTCCTGTTCCTCCGGCCTGGGTGGGCTAACACTGCCCTTACACACCAGCAGTTCTGTCTGACGGAGAAGGAGAGAACGTTCCCCACCACAGCTCACTGCAGGGGTGGGCGGGGTGCTTCCCAAACTGCAGGATTCACCTGAGCAACAGAAGACTGTGTCTCACGGTCTGCTCTTTGGCCCTCAGGACCATGGCATAAAGCTGGCCTTCTTCCCAAACAGTAGCTTGAGAGCCTGCCTCTTGGGCCCAGGTCCTCTCTTCTCCTTGACCACCCTCTTTCCTAACCTATCTGGGTTCCAAGAAGCCTGAACGGT